TTTTAACAAGGCGTTGACCATCTGTGGCACTGTGGATGACCTCAGCTCATGTCCAGTGACCGTCCTGTTGCAATCCTGGGCTCCAGGCACTCAACCAGACCAAACCAACACACGCTCCGTGTCTGTGGGGCCCTTTAAATGCTCACAGCTTTTAAAACACAAAACTGGAGTGTTCGCCCATGCCTTGTGAGAATCTCAACTCCCTGGGGCCGCTAAATTTGAACTGGTGAGGAAACACCTGTAAACACTTCAAGCCTCATTAAACGAGGACGTCCTTCATTTAAAAAAGAAACCTCTCCTTTTTCTGTTTTGTTTTTATCAAAATACAGCACTTCCTACAAAGGAAGAGCTGGCCCTTCCAAAGAGCCTTGCAGAGAGATGAAGGAAGGCTGATAGACTGCCGTAGGAGTTCAGGTACGTTCTGAACATTAATCATAACAACACTGTTGTATCTGACCTATTCATACCACTGCATGAATATGTCCTCTTTCACAACTTGGCATCCCCATTAAAAGAACAAGATGGGGTCTGGTCTTTGTTTTTGGCCACGAGTATATCAAAGGGATTTCAGCCCTCCCAGTATGCCCAATGTGTCTTGGGAGAGGGTTCATACTGCAAACCATTTTGCAGTGTAACATTGGTACGTGTTTCATGAAACAAAACCAACAAGCAAACAGAAAAAACCCCGACGGACTGACAGAACAGAGATCACAGAATCATAGAATCACCAAGCTGGGAAAGACCACCAAGACCAACCAGCCCAACCATCCACCTACCACCAATATGACCCCCCAACCCATGTCTGTTAGTGCCACATCTGAACGTTTCTTGAACACAAGAGCTCTGCCCAAGAAACCCCACAAAGAAACAACCTCCAAACCAAGCAATGACACAAAGGAGACCACGCAGCTCCACGCTGCTGCTCTCAGCAATAGGCCCCCACCTCCTCAGCATTGTTCTGCCACACTTTGCATATCTGCATACATTCTTACTACCAGCTGCACGCTGCCATATCCTCTCTGCTGTCAAAGTGCTTAGTAATAGCAGGCATGCTGTGAGCTAACACCATGCAGACGGACAGGGGAGGGCCCAGCTCACAGCCCTGTGCTGCTGGATGAGCGGAAGGACGACGCTGGAACCTCCTTCAGTGCCATTCCATTTGCATCAGTGCTGAAGGAATATCTGCACTCTCCTATCTCTGGCACAGTAACTACTGGATTTCTCCCCAAAATAATGCAATTACAGGATTTCATTACAAAAACAAAAACAAACCCCTTCAACGTGTAGAATGAAACTGCTATTTTTCTAGCAATGCAAAACCTCTACCTCACAAATGATGGTCTTCAACTATCACTGCTTTGGTCAGGCATTCAGATTTACTTCAAGCTCACGGTGCAGGAAGCAATATCAGGAAGCAATGGTAGAAGCTAAGGGCATTTGGCTTGAGTCAGTGCATGAGAAAACAGCGATCACAATCAGGACTCAGCGATCCTCACAGGTCTCTTCCAACATGAGATGTTCTGCGACTCCACAACTGTGCTCTGCTGCAGTTTTCTTCTGGGAACATCAGACTTCTGCCAGCACAAAGCTGCTTGGAAGCAGCACGGCCAGTGAAGGCCTCCAGCAGGTCTCTGCCACCAATGGCCCTCTATTTTTAAATGTGAGAACACACCCCGCGTACATCTGCAGAAGCGCTGCCTGAGGCTCGTACACAGCAGGCTGCCAGGGCATGCAGAGGCGGCTCACGGCCTGGTGCTGTGCTGACACCCAGATCCAGCATCTCACATTAAACCACGCCGTGGTTGTACTTAGGAATGCCGAGGGTGACATGGAATTGCTCAGCATTCAGCTGTTTCTAAGGTCTTTGCATCGGGACTTTACGAACGTGAAACCAGATAAAGTCTGGTGACAAATATCTAAAATGAGGAAGTTGCAAAAAAAGGGCACGGATATCCACAGATGAAACAAGTGGTGGTGCTTCGGTGGCTGACAATCACCCATTTCCATTTATACCCACAGTCAGTAAACTTACCATGTTCGTTTCCATGCCTCCCAGTCCTGCCTTGACCAGTTCACCACCAAAGCAATAAGCTCAATGTCTTGGAGCCAGTGAGACCCCTGCTAGCATCTCTGCCCCAAATCTGGGTGAGATTTCTCTTCTTCCTGGTGGCTACGCATTGAGTCGTGTCCACAGACCAAAAGGTTCAAAGACAACACAGTTCTGCCACAGTTCTGGGCGTACAAACAAAATAGAATCATAGAATCATCACAGAATGGCTTTGGTTGGAGGAGACTTCCATCTCCTGGCCGTGGGCAGGGCTGCCCCCCCCCAGCTCAGGCTGCCCAGAGCCCCATCCCACCTGGCCTCAAGTGCCTGCAGGGATGGGGATGTTGCCTGGGGATGCCTCCATAAGAGTAAGTTGTGTTTGACTATCTGATCCCGAGCTTTACCTTGCAGGTTATGAATTAGGCACTCCCTCCCCTTATCTCCTTATTATTGCCTCACTCCCAGGACAGCAGTTGAGCTCATAAATAATTTTCTTCCAAAAAGAGGATTAATGCTGTCGACAGATACCCTTTTATATATATATTTTTTAACATGTGTCAATATTAGTGCTTTAATCCTGCCATACAAAGTCAGAAGTATGAATACACAAACAGCAGTCTGGTATTTCAGAAAGCTCTGCGGTCTGCAAGCACAAACATTTGTCTTTGAGGATGCAATAATGAACTTAATAAGAGGATCTCTATCTCATAGCTCTGAATGAGTTTAAAAGACAACCACACTTAAGCCAAGGTTCCTTCTGAAATTTCCTCCATCATCCATCAGGAGAGGGAGCAGAGATTGAGAAGCTGAGTATCACTGGAAGCAATAACGTCTGCTTGAACCAGGGTAGGTATTTCAGACTGCAAATTCTCTATCTCGCATCTTTGTTCTATTGCATGACATTGGATGTGAGAATACAGAAAGGCCATCCAGGACAGAAGTGCACAGAGCACGAGGCCAGGATCCATCCCAGTAAACTGGTGTAAGTTGTATCACACAGCCTGGGAGCACCTCTACCTCTGGGAGCTCCTGCAAAGAACGCCTGCAAACCCTCAAAACCCGTGTTTGGAATGCAAAGGGTGACTTCAGTCAATGAGCCCCCAAAAAAGTCAAAAATGAAAAATAAAAGAAAGTTTCCCATTTTCAGCAGAAACTCTGAGGGTTACCAGGACAGCGTGAGTCACAGCAGGAGGGAGATCACAAACAACCCAAGCAGGGCCAGAGAGACCTGGGGTGAATTCTGTGTTAAATCTCATCAAAACTCTCTGGGAAATGCCAGAATTTACTCCATGCCCCACAGTGGGAAGACTTAAAAGAAAAGACAGACATGATTTCTGATGTCCTGATCCCAGTCAGCATCACCAACATTACCAATTACAACAACATTACCAATTACAGCCTGCTCCAACATCTCCGTGTGTCACGGATCCAGAGAAACAAACACAAAGGTGCACTTATTTTGCAGAAGCCTGCTGTCAGTACTCATACATTTGGTTGGTTTTCCTTGGGAGTGCTGCACAGCCATACACAATGTCACCCCCCCTCTGTAAGTGCATCCTTCCAACAGCCTCTGAGCACCCCATGGAGCTGCTGTGTCTCTGTTCATTGCCAGGGAGTTGGACTAAGTGATATTCGAGGGTCCCTTCCAACTCAAACGATCCTATGAACATCACCCATTTTTAATAGTGCTATAAATAACAGTAAAGCAGCTATAGCACAATGAGCTGCACTTGAAGAAGTTCCGTAATATTTTTATTTGTCTACGTGAGCCCCACACCTCCCACTTGGCCCTCTGAAACGAGCTCTGATTCATACCTCAGTTTTAATAAGGAACAAATGAGGCATCCTCCATACACAGTTGGCAGCATTAAGCCCTTGGGCAGTGTAAAGCACCGTCACCCTCATGACCTCTCACACACAAGCTGAGGATCTGAACCCGGGACATTCCACTTCCACCCCATGGTTGCTGCATGTATTTTTTCACATTCAGAAATCGTAGAATGGTTTGGGTTGGAAGGGAGCCTCAAAGGTGCAGCGCACAGGGACACCCACAGCTCAGCAGTGCTCACAGCCCCGTCCAGCCTGACCTTGGCTGTCTGCAGGGACGGGGCACCACCGCCTCTCTGGGCAACCTGTGCCAGCGCCTCACCGCCCTCACTGCCAAACCTTCCTTACATCCGCTCTAAATCTCCCTTCTTTGAGTCTGAAATCATTTCTCAGTGGTCCTGCTGAGTGCCCCATACTGCTCACATCCAACATCAGACACAGAGGATGAAAGCCCTCAGAACCTCTGCATGCAGGTGACCCTATTCCCCAGTGTCCTCAAGAGCATTCTGAGTTCAAGGCTACGAATCATATTGAAAATTAATTTAGAAGTCGAGCCAACACAAATTTGCTAACAGACTTCTCCGAGCTTGACTTGTAAGCTGCTTGCAGCAGGCACAGCACTCGCCTGTCCCTGCCTCTCCCTTCCTGCTCCTCACTCACACGTTCAGGTGTTTGTCTGCAGATGAGTTGCAGTCACGTTGAGCTGAAAAGTTTCCGGCGCTGAGTCAGGCAGTGGGAACAGCAGCAGCCAACACTCTGAGCTCGTATGATGCAAGCCAACTATGGTCAGAGTTTGTCCTCTTGGTAGAGGACAAAGAGCAGCAATGGTCCTATGGGCACTGTGCACTGATGCATGTAGAAATGCTCGCTTTGCAGCAAGAAAAGGGAAGGAGCAAGGCGCCTTTTAACTTTCCCACCTACAGTAAGTAGCGCCAGCCCTGGGTCTTGATGGCTTTCAGGGTTTGTGCACCAACATGAAGAAAACCACCCGTCCGATCTATCTGCTGAGAAAGTACACGCAGATTCACCCCCCCAAAATCAACCTGAAAAGGGGCAGAAATCTGAAGATCTCAAATGATTCACCAAGGGAAAAGTACAAGCAAGAATATCGTTGCATGTTACTCACATGGGTCGCATGACTGGCTCTGGAAGCTGCAGGGTGAGGCTGCGAGGAAGGACGGGGTTTGTGCAGCTGTGAAGGCAGTGCAGCAGAAGGGCTCATTCCATTGGAGTCCCAGCACAGTGGTCCTGCATAACAGCCAGAAACAGGCTACAGTGAGGGCTTGGGTCCCTTTTCTGAGTCTCCTGCAACAGCATTTCTTTACAGGAACATGTAATTAACAGCCTCACTTTCCTCTCACTGAAGCAAAACTGAAGCTCTGCAGATGAACAAGGAAGGCTTTGTGTAATGTGAAAACAGTGATACTTCTTATGACCAATACTCGCCATTTGTAAAGCTGTTCTCAAAATTTGCCTAACTGTTGACACGGATTTCAGATGAAACTCGCTTTCTGAGAGCCTCTCATTTGACTGGATTGCAAATCCTACAAAGGCATCATGCTTTGGGCTCACACGGTGCAAGTAACTCCCAAACACAGCTACCAATGGCTCAAAAAGCTGTATCCAACCAAGCCACGAGCCCAAACTCAGTAGAGCAAACCAGAGGCTTCACCTCCTCCTTTGCCATTGAGATGTTGGCCCAGGCTTGCACAGCTGCTGGTGGTAGATATTCTGCCACTGCAGATCAGACCCTGTGCCAGAAACCACACCGTGGGGCTGCCTCTAGCTGGTTCATTCCAAGCCTGAGCCCTGCCCCTGTTACCAAGGCAAAAACTTGAGCCCAAATTGTCACAAGGAAAGTCAAACCGCCGGCGTGTGATCCTGTCTGGAAACCTCCACACTGAGAGCTCTCTGAGAGCACATTTGGCCCTGGAGTTCCATCGAGAAACAGGACTCAGCAGCTCCACAGCATCCTCAGCCCGAAACCTGCAGTGTTCAGCTGCAGAGGAGTGGGCAGAGAGCTGCAGAGAGCAGAGGGATCATGGCAAGATGTGAACCTGCACAGAAGTTCCCACCACATCATTCAGCACATGCTATTCTGTGGCCTCCTTGGAACAGCTGGGAAAGCCCAGGCAAGGTGCAATCCGCCTGCAGATCCCACCCCAGCTGGCCACTAAGGAAATTGAGCCAGCCTGGTTTAGGGGAGCCATTAGGAAGTCTAAGGAAAAATAACTGCAGAAGTTTTCTAGGGGGGGAGGATGGTTCCTATCCAGGTCCCCCATAGATTGGCAGCTGGCTCAGTTGCATACTGGGCTTTTGAACAGGATTTTTTTCCATCTTATTCAGCCTTTGGCTACGCTGTTTCCCTTGGGAGCTCCCATTAGGGCTTAATTACACCTTTAATAATCGAGTTAATAATTCATTGGCAAAATTTCCCCCTCTTCTTTGATGGCTGCTGGTTTCGTAGAAGGCCTTTCAAGCCTGTCTCCACTCGACTAACTGAAAGCAGCATTTATCAGCCTGTTCTCATCATCAAAGCACAGATGGAGCTGTGTCACCTGCCTCCAGAGACACCGATGGGCGTTGGGATAGAATCATAGAATGGCTGGGGCTGGAAACATTGACCCCACTCTGTGAGCACTGAACCCAGTTTAGACAAGGAGATGGGTTACATCTTCCTTTGGCCCTCGTGCTTAAGAGAGGCTGCAAGCTTTACAAACTGATTTTATATCCACATGAAGGAAAAAAAAAAACTAAACACATGCCCAGCTCTGGTTCCTGGTCAGGCCACGCTGGGGGTCAGTTTGCAAAGCAGCACTGTGGGGTTCAGAGGGAGAATCTGTGCTGCTTCTGATCAGAAAGAATGGGAAAACCAAAAACAAACTCAAAAAACAAAGATAAACCACCCAACCAAAACAGCACCTGGACTAAAAGGCAGAATTAAAAGCTTGGTAAAGTGGAAGCAGCGTTGTCTGCCGTGAAGACATGCATACTGCTGACAGCTCTGCGCTGGGAGGGAAGGATGAACGCCGACTGTGGTCAGCAGGAACAGAAGAAATGGCACTTTCTGGTTGGAATCAGCCTGTAGCAGGCTGGCACTAGGTGATGTTAAAGGTCCCTTCCAACTCAAACCATCCTGTGATTCTATGATCTGAGCGGCCCCTTCCAACCCAAGCCATTCTACGTCTCTGCGGTGGCTGCCACTGGAGCAACAAGCAGGGTCTGCTCTAAAGCGAAACGGTGCTCTGGGATTGGCAGCTGGAATTCTTCCTGCACCCTGCAGGACCTGTGTTTGGGTGAGAAAGGAGAATCCCGCTGCCACAGCCGACGGTGGCACACGCTGTGTCCCCTCTGTCACCCATCCGCTGGGCGAAGCTGCCACCTGCCGGCCCTCACCCACACCCTTCATCCAACCCTCGTCAAAATGCACATCTGGAAGCACAGCGATGTCCAAACACATCAGCACGAGCCGTGGGAGCAACACGCCAGCAGCACCCGATGGCAGGTCGAAGGAGAAACGCTCAATCCAGACGCTGCCATGTAAGACGCAGCGCTGACAGCTGTCTAAACATCAGTGCTACGTAATCCTGAGTGCAGAATTATGGGATGCTTCCTTCCATTCCAGATGCACAAAACGTGTTTCATTAGTGCTGTCTGCTCCCTGGAAACGGAGGGACTTTCCTTAGTCCCTCCTCCAGCCTTATCTTTTCTTCCAGCGAGCAAAGTTCTCACTGTGCAATGTTCTATTGCATGAAATGCAGGTGCAGAAACCAGCCCTCGCTGTACCCATGGTTCTCATGAAATACCCACAGCTGCACTTGAGTTTCCAGTTGATCCTCTCCATCATTTCTCATTCGCTCACCAGTCATCGGTTTTGCACTCACTGCTTATACAGCTTATATCCCGCACTATTTCACTTCCACGTGCTCTGAGCCAGGCACAGATCCATGCTGAACGTTGGCCATGAGAGCAACTCAGCCCTCAGGAACCCTCACCCAAAACAGCAGGATTCACACGGAGCAGAGCAGCACCAATTGTGGGATTCTCCTCCTTCTGTCTCCCTGTGCTCTGCAGTGCATCAGACATCATGGCAAGAACACAAGAAAAGGCAAAACATGCTCTCACAAGTGGAAATGACATCTGCATTCACTAAAACTCTTGTTTTTTTCTTCGAAACTCCATGCATTTGGGTCACTGTAGAGTTCCACGTCCAATACAAATACCTGACCTCAACCAGCACGCAGATGCCCTCATTCCTCGTTGGATTATGTCCACTTCTGCACCTAAAACCAAACATCACACACCAAATATGAAGAGTCCGTTGTGGTTTTGTTGCTTTTTTTTTTTCTCTGCAGACTAGAGCAGGCCAGGTGATTTCCAAAGAAAGAATTTTAAGTCTCCTTTATGTTTACAGAAGGGTCGAATTTTCATACCGCGCGGGTTGGATTACACATTAAACTGTTATAATCATTTATCCCCTTACAGCACACAGCCTGGGTCCCTTGGAGTTTAAGTGCATCGCCCAGCAGCGTGCCAAGCCAGGTGAATAAATTCAGAGCTTTCAGGACAGGGCTGCCAATGGCAGACACGAAGGCTATGGGAAACACTCAGCCATAGATCACGTTTTCTACGCCTGTCTTCCTCCCTGCTCCTGGCCAAAACCTCGAGCAGCGACAAGAGGTGAAAATTTGGCTCTCCTTCCAACACCCCATTTTCCCATTTATCTCCACCAAAACTCCTGACCAGAAAAAGCACAAAAATTTGCTGGAATCAGACTGAAGTCTGAACTTCCTACACTTGGAATGGAATGAATTTTCTCAGCCTTTTGAAGTCACTGCCTCAGCACAGGGCACGAACCTGCACCGTGCCGGAGGTCCTTAAGGTTCCCCAGTACTTGCCTAATATTTTCTGTTTTATCTGATAACATCAGAGAAAAATGAAACAAATCGGATCATACTGTTCCAATTATGAGTCGCTACAGTGAGGCAAAGCTGGACTTTCCCAGCTAAACATCTCAATATTGTGAAAATATTCTGACTCAATTATTCTAATTTGTTCCTTCTAACATCTGAGAGACAACATCTGAAACAAAAGAAGAAACGCTCATAAAATTAACCGAGAGGCTCAGTGTTTTTATGAAGGGAAAAGCATTGCTTTCAGTTTCGCTTGCCAGCCGTGTCGATGCTCAGTTAGTCAGAATTCAAGCCTTGTCTGAAGAAATGGGGCATTGCAGCCCAGCAAGGGAGGTGCAAAGGCTCAGAGCACAGCACTGAATCCTGCCCTGTCGTTCACTCACTGGATACTCAGAAACTACACCAACCTTTTGACTGCATATATCATAAAACACCACCACCACCTCACAGCCAACCACAGGTAGGATGCCCAGGGATGGGACCTCACACCTCCCTGGCTGGGGCAGATGATCTTTTGCACCATTTGTTGCCTCTTCCCTCCAGTGTGAAGCTTCTCTTGGGCATCAGCTGTGAAACGAGTGGAGACTTTTGCTGTTTTGGGGAATAGAGCTCAATCTCCACTAATACCATTGCTGGCCCCAGGGCCACGTGAAGTCGTTTATTCCAGAGCTTTTGCTATAGCATGCATCACCTCAGCAGATGAGAACCTGACCGGTTAATTAACGCAAATTAACAAGGTGCACTCATGCCCTGTGCTTTCCAGGAAATCTGTCCACTGGGAGACTTTTCAGGAATGACCAAAGCACGAATGGCTGCAGCAAAGCATGCAGAGCGCTCTGCGTAATCTGTGGGCACTGAAAGCCAAAACAAACCCAACTGCTGACAACAGAAAATAAGAAGTGGGAAGGAGAGGAGGCCAGGAAGGGCCGAGCTCACAGCACAGTGCAGCACAGTTCCTCCTTCTCCATCTGGCCATACTTGTGGGGAGCAGCTCACCTCCATCCCCATCCCTGATGTCTTCAAGGCTTGGTGAAGATGGATCCCAATGCCGCCGCCTGATGCTTCTGGGACAACTCCTCTTGCATTCCACCTGGACAGAAGGCAGCTGGGATGGGACTCAGCATGTTTTATGGGGAGCATTGCCTTTTTCTGACCCTGAAATCACAGCTCTCTGTTGTTGACCCGCGCTGAAATGGCCTCTCGTCCTGCAGGAAGAGTAAGGTTGGCAGATTTGCTCCTGAGAGGTTGAGCAACTGGCTGAGAAGTGGGTCAAAGCAGGAGCAAGAGAAAGGCCTCTGGCGGTGCTTCATCACCAGCTCACAGGTATTGAGATCTGTTGTTGTTTTTCCTTCCTGACTCTTCTGGTTTATTTGGAAATTTGTGACGTTTAAAGATCCCACACCTGCAAGCAAGTAGTTGAGCACGTCTTCATTTAATTAAAGAAGGCCAATCCCTGAGACCTCAAGTGTGAAGAACGTGCACACGTGAGCTGAGCACATTTACGATTCAGAAATAGACTACAAGGGGAATAAAGTTTTCTAAGAAAGAGCTTTCAGCAGCACGCAGAACTTCACGTGGCATCATCCCTCCTCTGCTGGGTTTCTCTCAGGACTGAGGTATGAGCTCACCCACTGCCCTGAAGCACAGCGAGGTCCAACCAGCATCCCCAGGAATGCAAAGGTTCAGAGCTCAGAGTCTGAAGGTTACAGCCTTGACGTTTGAAGGAGCAGCAGGCTTTGGAATGAAGCAGTTTGATGGTATCGTATATACTTTGTTTTCAGACTTGTAAACTGAGAGCAGAAGTTGTCCTATTGAGCAATGCGTACGGAATGGTCCATGCTTTTGTTAAGGGCTTCACTCCCTGGGAAGAACAAACACGGCAGCCCAGGTGAGTTGCAGCCCTGAGGAATTGTTGCTCCCAGTGCTCCTGATTATATCAGCTGCCATTCAGCTGGCTGTAAAAATACAGTTTGTCCCAGGGGAAAGCAGAACATACAAAAGCTATGGAGTGCAATGGGGTGTCAGATGAAGCCCTCTGTTACTGAGGGTTGTAGTGTCACTCCAGTGCCTCACTGACCCAAACAGCTCAAGTGTTAGCAGAAAAACATCTGCCTTTTGAGGTCTGCATGCCAGCACTCTATTTGCATCCTCAACAGAGAGGGCACGAGCCACACAGGCATCAATTCAAAGTACCTCCAAGCGGTCACTGCCCCTTAGGACTCAGGTTATGCTGCTTTCGAGGGAGAAAGAGTTGTTCTGCCATCAGAACATCAAGGGTCCATCGAAACTGGAGCGTTGTTTCCACGTCACTCTTCAAAACTCAGTCCTGCAGTGAAATGAGACAGTGGTCACAGCCATACCTTGGGTAGCTCCCATTGCACAGCAGTGTTATCAGGGCTGGAGAAAGCCACTTCTTACTGTGTGTACAGGAGCCAAATCCAAAGCTTGTCTGTCTCTCTCAAACAGTCTCTGCATGCTAACACAAAGGTTTGTTGCTAATAGTTTATATCTTAACAAGCCCCATGGAGAGCACTAGCCTTGTGTGACTGGGTGCTCTGTGTGCACATCAAGAAAATGGATTTCTGTGCCAAAGAATTTACAGCCTAATCCAAGAAATGGGTGACAAAAAGGCACAGCTCTCATCTCCAATTTACAGGCAGGGGGTCAGGGAAATTAAAACACAAACCCACACGGCAGCCTGTAAAAGCCATCAAAGGGACCCAGCTGTGACTTGGTGCAAACCATCCCAGCTCTGCACAGAGCTTCTACCTCAACTCGTAGCCCATCACAAGCCTGACGCCCTCAGTACATCCAACAGCAGGGAGGAGAAAGGGCACCTGAGCTGGAAAAGGATGTGGAGAATCAATGGCAGTGCTCTCAGGGCTGCTGCCCCCCCTGCCCCAGGCAGCACACGTCCCCTCCTGCTTTGCACAGCTCTGAGGTTTGCACCGTAGCTTCGGTTCCCCATTTGGCTCCTGACTTTTTTGCTCTGGAATTATTGGAATGATAACAAAGGGGCTGCGTATTTAATCTGCCAATCGGCATTTCTTTCACCCAGTAAATATTTAATTCCTTTTTTCTTTCTTTCTTTCTTTTTCTCTTTTTTTGGTAAGACCTCACTCGAGCTGTGCTTCCATTAACCTCTTGACCCTGGATAAAGAGGCCCAAACTCCAAGCAACACCTGCATTTTTGCATTTCCCCATTTCCCTACACAAACTCACCCTCAGGCAGCTCCATACCCCAAAGAGCTGCACCATCTTCCCCCCCTCCCCTGACATCAGGCGCATTTCTGGGCAACGTGAGATGGCTGCACCACAGCAGAGCACTCATAGAATCACAAAACCAAAGAATGGCCTGGGTTGCAAAGGAGCACAGTGCTCATCCACTTCCAGCCCCCTGCTGTGTGCAGGTCATCAACCAGCAGCCCAGGCTGCCCAGAGCCACATCCAGCCTGGCCTTGAATGCCTGCAGGGATGGGGCATCCACAGCCTCCTTGGGCAACCTGTGCCAGTGCCTCACCACCCTTTGAATGAAAAACTTCCTCCTGACATCCAACCTAAACCTCCCCGTCTCGGTTTAAAACCATTCCCCTTTGGCCTATCACTATCCATCCTCATAAACATGCTCCATTCAAGTACACACAAGGCCACAGCGAGGTCTCCCTGGATCTTCTCTTTTCTAAGCTAAACAAGCCCAGTTCCCTCAACCTTTCCTCATAGGAGAGGTGCTCCAGCCCTCCGCTCATCTTTGTGGCCCTCCTGTGGACCATGCTGTGTGTTGGCTCAGTAGCAGACCTTCCCAGCTCAGTGTGGTCTGATGGGAGATGCAGAATTTATAACGAAAGATTAGCTCAATCAAAGGGAAGACAGCAGAGCTTTCATGGGAACTTACCACCCAGGAATGAAAAATCAACGTGGCAATAAACCAACCCAAACAATTCCTGCGTTAAACTGGTTCGATCTGAGAGTCCCATCCTCTGCAGCAGGCACAACTCTCACATACTGATTCATGACTCAAGAACAAACAGAGCAAGAACAATCCGAAGCAATTATCACCTGCCACTAATGAATATATATCTGTAGATGAGACCTGCACAAGCATAGCACTCTTCCCATTTGCCCTCTTCAACAAATTCTCCCTTATACTTTCCCACTTCTTGTGGTGTTTCTCTTCTACACCCCCATTTCTTGCAGTTTAGTGCCTGAGCTCAAGAGGAAATGAAGGTCTGGTTATCAGAGCTGCTCGCACACCACTTGTCACCTATCCTGCTGCAGTGGAACCGAACGCAGCTGGATGTGTCTCTCAGACCTGTTGGCTAATAAGGTGCACTTCCTTATTTTCAGATAAATACCAGATGTCACAATTATTAAAGCAAAGCCAAGAGTAAATACTACACACAACCCTGAGCAAATAAAGCAGCGCAATCACCTCCGTGCAGTTTCACAGACCTGTTTTTCAGGGTTCTGCTCTTATTCATTGTGTTGTTGTCCAGAGATTAGCACAGCAGTGTCTGGGTCACATTTCACCACGAGGTTGTTGACTTTGGGCATCCCGAGCTCTGTTCTACAGAACCTTTTCTGCTGCAGCCACGTTGGGGCAGCATTACCTGCCAACAGTGCCGAACAGATTGGGTGAAGCCCATTGGGAACGAAATGGGACCTCTGTGTATGGGAAAGGGACCGGGAAACCTGACCCCAATTTACCACCTATTGTTGTCTACCACTCTCACCAGTTTTGTTCAGAAGGGAAAAATGGACTTCAGGCCTTCATTGGCTTATCTCCACTTGAGGCATTCCTTTTAATGATTAACCTTAAAGAAGTCAATTGTGACGGAGCTAATTTGCAGTTCATAGGAGAGCATTCACTGTTTGGGCCATCTTAGTTCTGGTTTGGTTCAGCTGCTCTACAGCAGAATGACAAATGGGCAAAGCATTATGGAACACAGTTAATGGGGAGTTTTGGGGTGGGTTTGTTCGCCCACACACGCCCTGTATTAAATATATATTGATAGGACAAGGGGAAATGGCTTCCAATTAGAACAGGGGGATTTATTTAGAGTGGATGTAAAGGAAGGTTTGGCATTTGGGGGAGGTGAGGCGCTGGCACAGGTTGCCCAGAGAGGCGGTGGTGCCCCGTCCCTGCAGACAGCCAAGGTCAGGCTGGACGGGGCTGTGAGCACTGCTGAGCTGTGGGTGTCCCTGTGCAGGGAGCAGCAACATACAGCCCTTGATGCTCCCTTGCAACCCAAACCATCCTATGGTTCTACATGCATGAAAATCTCACAGGTAACAAATATTTCCATTCTAACACTTTCTTGCATCACCAGTGGAGAATCACCACATCACTGCCTTCGGAACCGGCTCCGTGCATTCAGTCCCCGAGGTTTTGCACATCTCAAAGAGCAAACGCAGAGATGAGATGCTGAGATCATTGAGATGAGTTTGATGTGAAAGCTGACGCATCGAGGAACTTCATGGAGGAACATTCAATTGCCACAAAGAAAGAAGTGTGAAGGCCCCAATACAAATAGCACTCTGTGCTTCATGTCAAGCTTGCACTTAATTTAAGTGCTTTGCTGAATTCCTGCCAGAAAAGGCAGAGCAGAGATACTACAAGAGAAAACACGACAAGGAGCAGCCACGTATCTCAGAGTGACATCCTGCTCTGGATCACCAACAAGCCTGACATGGAAACCAAGTCTTAAGCAGAAAGCAACCAACCAACCAGCCTATTATTGAGCATTTTAGAAGCACAGTAGGACAAGAAGAAAGGATTCTCAAACAGAAGGGATGAATGAATGAAAACCATCCGAAAAGCTTGTATGCGGGAGCTCAGTTTCATGTGCGGTAACTCAGCTCTCGACGCACGTAAGAAAGGACTTCAAGGAGCAACGCATGGCTGTGGCTGTCAGGGACAGGGCTGAGACAACAGGAGAGGCAGAGTTATGAAAGAGATGGAGAAACTGAGCCTTGTGCCTGGCTGCCAGCCACGGCGTCGTATTTTAACAGCTAAGCAAGTAAATGATCCTTTGAAAAGAAGGCTGTAAATAGAGAAGGTGGCTCGAGTACCCAGCGTCAAAAAGGTGTGTTTGCAGCTCTGGCTCGTGGACACAGAACGTTAACCCTGACTGTGCTCCATAAATGCAGTGAGTTTAAGCCAAGGGTTTTGCATGGGCCAAGTAAAACAGTGCTACCCTTGTCACGTCCATAGAATCGTGGGATCATCTGAGTTGGAAGGGATCCTTAAAGCTCACCTTAAAGCTCACCTCTTCCAGCTGCCCTGCAACCAACAGGGACATGGCTGAGGCATAGCGTGAAACAAACTGGGGAACACAGGGAAGCCCTCAGACATCGAAATGGTTTCAACAGGAGATCTGGAAACCGTGTTCCAGACACCCCCGTGTGCCTCGAGAGAAACACTGCTGCTCTTCACCCCTCCCTTTGCTGTCCGGTTGGTTTTGGGAGCTGACTTATTCTACTCGCGTTTGCTAGGGAGGGTTTCCTTCGGTCTGATTCACAGCACCATCTCGTGGCACGAGCTGGGATGTCACAAACAGGATTTCCTATTTCTGACCATTATTTTTCCACCATCAGTTGGGTCTGAAGCAAAGAGTTTGCACATTTCTGGGGGTCTGAGCTGAAGGGGTACACGGTAATGCCAAGAATAAGTGTCTAAGAGCTCAGATCTCCCTAGAGGGGAAAATAGAAGAGTTCCCTGCTCTGACTCCCTGCCCCACACTGTTCTAAGGTGTAAAAACCACAGTGAATCCACCAGCGTGTGGGACTCAGAGCTACAAACCTGAACCCCAAATTCCTGGGAAAGAAATGGCTGAACCCACCCTGAGCTGCAGAGTGGCCTGAACACAACAGAACATGGCAAATGTGGATATACGGCCTGTTGGCATCGCTGCCCATCGCACTCATTTGTGCCTGCAAGCATGGATCAGTTATGGAGAGCTCCTTATCAGCCCATCACAGCCACCTGTGAGCTGGGACCATTGCTTTCCAGAGCCTGTTTTAATTATCAGCTACACTTAATGGGCTTCAGAGTGCAGATCCACACCTTGTGGCTCCCGAAATCTTACCTTGGCAAAGAAAGCGGGAAGGAACAAACAGAAGATCTGTCTCTGCACCCAGCGACACCCACCTGAGAGGCAGAACTGACCCAGAAGATGGAGGCAGGCATGGGGACGTTGGTGGGCATCCAGGTGTAAGAATCTGGAGGTGCTGTGGCTGCTATGTGCTCATCCTGGTCCACATATGTGATGCAGGTGGGCACCAGCACAGAGCATCAGGAGGAGCCCAGGGTCACCCGCTCCCTGGCAGCGGGCACCTGGCTTACCCGGGTAAAACGGAGGCACAGAGGTGTCATGGAGCACAGGAGCTGCTCTCTGGTCCTTGCTCTTGTCCTCCTGCAGCACGCACACTGCCCAGCAGTGGAAGAGACTGCATCCCCACCATGGTGCATCAGAGCCAGGGGCTCATCACCACACCGGGGTTTCACTTGGTGGGCCAGAGCCAAGCACCAAGCAGGCAACAGCAGCCTTTGGCAGCAGGTGGAGTGGAACATGGGGACATCCCCGATCCAGTCCCTGTCACCCCAGCATGCAGCCAGGCCATACCTTACCTGGAGCATCGCCCCTGCGTCCTACCCACTTCATGGGGCAGCTGTGCACAGAAACCTGGCCCCAAGCACCCCTTCACTGTGGGTGCTGCCACGGAGCAGAACCTGCCCTCAGAAGCACTTGCGATCTTGGGGTCGGTCCTGCTGCACCCCGGCTGCAGCACAACTCCCAGAACGCTCAGGAAGAGGGCAGGCATCCTCGCACGCCCATTTCTCTGCTTCCACACGCAGTGTGGCTGGAAGCAACGCCGCAACCACCCATAACACCAGGACCAGAGCCCTGCTGGGCCGCCAGCGAGGTTTATTTGCCACGGAACAGAGCCACGACAAAGCTGAGGTGCAGGAAGCTTTCCCCACGACGGCCCTGGAGCGAGGAGCGGCTGCGTGCTGCAGCCTCCTCTAAACCCTCAGAGTCCTCCAAGCGCAGCTCCGCCCCTGAGCTTCGGTCAGCACGGCGGTGCGGCGGCCTCAGTCACTGCCGACCACGTCGGGGTTGCGCAGCCGCCCCAGCATCTCGCTCAGCATTTGGTTGCAGAGGGCAGAATAGGGGTTGAGCAGCACCAGCTGCTGCCGTGCGAAGGCGCTGC